GCTCCGCCGGTTTTTCGACCCCGCCGTGGTCGAATTCCAGCGCGGCTTCACCCGCGAGCTCCGCACCGCGACGCGGCTGGTCGGGGGGGAGTACCTCTGCACCGACGCCGTCGTCTACCGCTCCCGCCTCGACCAGACGGTCCTGAGCGAGGCCGAATTCCACCAACGCAGCGCCGCCCTCCGCGCGCGGCCGATTTCCCCCTCAAACCCCGCCCCGCCCCCCGCGCCCGCGGCCGCGGGGGGGCGAACCGCCCCACGGCCCGCCGTCTCGAAGCCCGCGGCCCGGCTAAACGCCCCGAGCGGGCCCAATTTGTTGGACTTTTTTAGGGTGAAATAACCGCGAGGGGAAAGACCTCCCCGGCGCTCTCCGTTTAATCGAACTCGGGCGCGTTTTTTCAGACGGGATATAGAAGCGATCATAGAAGATAAGGTGGTTTGAAGGATGGATTTTCCATGCATAGACTCAGAGGTATCCCCCTTTGGGGGGGGGTTCCCCACACGTGCTTGCGCGACGCACCCTTCGATCGATTACGCATTCGGTGATGGGACGCTTCGGACTATGACAACCTCCCATTCTCTCCTTCTTTTTTTTATTATTATTTATTATTATTATTAGTAGGATCGTGTAGAGATCGCACAAAGAATGGAAAAATCGAAACGTCGACCTCGTCCGAGATTTGTTTGATTGCCCATGAACAAACACACCCTGTCCACGCTGCCGTTGGCGAAAGGGAAGGCCATTCACGACCGGGTGGCGAAGCTGGGGCTGTACAAGGAATGCCTGGCGCTGGGCTTTCTGGTCCGAGACGACCTCGTGCGGGCCCACACGCTGGGGGAGATTCGCGCCCAGTGGCTCGCCCACCGCGGGGATGGGGACTACACCCTGCAAATCCAACTCGCGAGCTGCCTCGACCGCATCGCCTACGGGCGGCTTTGCCAGACGAAGGCCCGGCAGCGCCGCCTCCCCAACGCGAGCGGGGCCTACGACTGGGGGGTGGTGAACCCTATGGAACACCACCACCGGCGCCTAACCCGCCGCGACGAGAACCCAAGCCCGGACGCCTCGAATCACGGCCGGGGAAAGCGCGATTTCGTCCCCATGACGAACTGGGGCATGGGCAATATGGACCCGGACGCGGTCAGCAAACACAAGGAGCTGACGGATCGCCAGCACTTTATGGGGCCGCACTGGCGGAATCGGCCAAAGCCGATGGTGCTCGAGGAGCTCAGCTTCGAGGAGCAGGTCCACGTGCAATTCCAAAAAAAGCCAAAAATGCGAAAAACACCAAAGAAACACTACTAGCGGGTCGGGAAATACACCATGGAGGCTCCGTGTAGACCGACCCGCGCCAAGTTGAATGAGGGGAAGGAAATAGTAAGGGGACAAACTTTTCAAAAACTACCGTTAATACGTTTTTTTTATTAATTCCTCTGTTTGAGTGAGGTTGGCTCTACCTGTGAAAGGGAAAAAAAATTGGAATAGTTTCATTTCACGCATTACTTTTTAGGTTCCCTCCTGTCTCTGGTTATATTTATTTTACTATTTTTTTGAAGTGCTTTTTTTTTATGATGAATCAAGTTGCTTTGGTGAAAGATCAAATACTTAGTCAGGGAGCCAACCACTTTGTGATTCTCTCCATGACAGGGGAAGTTTTAGAACACGGGGGCGACTTTGACAACCCGCTAAAGCAACGTTTAGCCCACACGATTGTTCAAAAATGCGCTCATCTTCTGCAGCCCGGTGAGTCTTTTAAACGCGTCAGCATGACGATGGAGGAGGTTGTTTATACGGCGACGACTGTGGACGACGGCCATGGGGGAACCCTCGGCATTCTCGTGAAGCGCCCTGCAAACGTGGCGTTGGCTGCCGATCCATGAGAGTTGGAAATAAATACACAACAGAGTAAAGAAAGGGTTTTTGTCTAGGGAAAGTGTATTATTCACAATAAATGATCCCCATAACAATATCTCTCTATATTGAATTATGAGGTTATCTATCTTAACTACCTTGTGCTGTTGATACAAGATGTTCAATCCCCCATATAACGCCTTACAAAAATGCACTGCGAAATGTCATAGGAAAAAGGGTTACTGTTGAAGTTTTTGTTCCACCTTTTCGACGCCTTTCCACACTATTTAGCGAACCATGAATAGACAAAAATAATACAGACTCTCAACATACAATAGAATTAAAGACAACCCCTTGGAAAAGGGTAAAACAACAACCATAGAAACCCCCCCAAAAAAATCCGCGTATTTGAACCAATGAATGATCCCCACCCGTACACGTACGCGCTGCAAGACGACACCCACCGCGATGCGTTGCGGATCGGCAAAAATGTCATCGGGCGGAGCGCCGCGGCGGTAGAGGGGGTCTGCTTCGTGAACATCGACTCCCACAAGGCGGCCATTAGTCGGATGCAGGCCTTGATCGAGATCGCCCCCAACGGCGAGGCCTGGATCTCCGACTGCAATAGCACCAACGGGACCTTCCTCGCGATCCGCGGCGGCGTCGGGGTGCGTTTGGAGCCGCAGCGCTACTACCAGCTCAGCCCCGACGCCCTCATCACCTTCGCCAACGTCGAGCGGCGGTTTGTTCGGCTCGAGGGCGATCCCACCGCCGCCGGGCCC